TATATACATATATATATACATATATATATACATATATATACATATATATATATATATACATATATATATACATATATATATATATAATTTCTTTTCTCTTTTCTATCATTCCTACTTCTCAGAACGGTCTCGTGAATGTTCAGGGCGCTCCCTGGCCTTGGCTCTCTACCTTGAGGTGAACGAGCTGCTTCTGGTCGAGCGCCGTTTCCAGCGACGCCCATATGGGGCAGCAGGTTTCACTCGCGCCGCCGCGACGGCCAAGATGGATGAGCCTCCCGAGAAGGCGTTCGGAAGCTTTCAGGCGCTCGCGTTTGTTTACTTCGCCGCACTTCTCCGACAGATAATGTAAATAACATCGCTATTCCGGGCGCGCGTTGGGTGGAGATTTGTCCGCGCAAACGATCAACTGAGATTAATATTCTTAAGAGGGGAAACATGAAGATCGACGAAACTGGTCGTGCATTTTAGAGGTGGGCTGTCGTTCTAATACATATAATTAATACATATAATTACATATAATTTTTGTCTGTCATTTAGTTAGTGAAAGTGGAATGTGTAATGCAGAGGTGTCCAACTTGCAAGGTCTCAAGGGCCACAACAAAAACCTATGATATGTTTGCGGGCCATATTCTCATTACTTAGGCGATTCACATCTGGTTTCACCGTATTGTTGACCTCGGTACTTTGTCCGGCTGCTCGGAAACTGGGAAGGGTGGGGGTAATTGGAACATGCGTGATATGTGGAAGTATCATGCGTAACGTAGTGAAACACATTGGGATGATTTTGAATGTCCTAATTTTCTAGAAAAAAAATTAAAACTAAATTTAATTACTTTTTACATTAAAGGGGTTAGACTCCCGTAAGGAGCGTGCGCTAGGCGCACGATATTCTCGCCTGGCATGGATCATTTTTATGAAATATGGACTTTCGCCTGACATGGACTTTCACCTTTGACTAATAACATTTTGCGGGTCACAATAAATGGCACCACGGGCCACATGCGGCCCGCGGACCACCAGTTGGATAACCCTGGTATAATGTAAGGTCATGGAAATTATATAAATTATACACCGTTCTATAACTACCATATAATTAATACTTTTCTTGGATGCTCTTAATCCAGACTAATGACGAATACTTACTTTTTGGTTGTGCAAGAGTGAGATTTCATATAACTTAGATATTTCCGTTCTTTTTTACCTGAGTTGTTTTTAAAATTTCAGCAAGATACAGAAGAAAAAATCTAGATGAATTTCACAGTTTATTTTTCACTTTTGAAAATAAAACTTGTAATGTACTAATGTTTTAGAACTGGCCAATCATTTTTTTTATATTATAGTAACACAAGTACGTAAAAAAGAAGTATATCTCAAATTTTTATATTTTTTTCGAAACGTTAAGACGAATTGTCTTCAGCGAATATTTGTGCATTAAATCTAAAGTATGATCGTTTTCTATCTACAAAATTTCACGTACAAAAACATTTTTATTTCGGCATATACGAATCAATTTTAGTTTAATTCTTAAAGCTTTCTAATCGATTTTCCCTTGAGTTATTTATGACTAAATTGTCTAGGAGTAGAACAAACGAGTATCTCCTCGTGGAACTTCACGCAAGCGTTTATGTAAATGTTCACTTATATCTTGTAGTTTATGATTACGTACACCTTGCAAATTCAGTAACTGGTTAGTAACTACGAATATTTTCTTTCGTTTACAGTAGTGTTATGAGGGATTCCCAAATTATTTCGTCCCCTTCGAGTCCCAAATATTTGGACATTGTGTGCAAGACACGAAGTTTTGTTTGTTAAATTTAAAAATAATCAATTTGAACAATGCTGTTAATTTTATATTTCATTCATAAAAATGAATTTAAAAATTGCATTTTTATTATACTTACTAGTAGACAGTGTGTGCCTTAGCTTTTATGGAAATCTCAAACATCTCTGGTGTGAATCGAAAATTCCGCAGTTGAATTGATAGTGTAATTATGAATTACTGATTAAAATTATGTTATGGAACACTTGTTGATTTCCCATTTGTCATGCACGCCACAAACAGAAATTAAAAACACCCAGAGCCATACAAATCAAAAGTAGACTTTTCTGTCAGATAAAATACGGTTCCAAGTGAAGCAAAGAAAAGCCAATTAAGTCAGCAGAAAAAATACTGGATATTTATTTTTCGTTAATACGTAATTGTTTATGATTGCCTTCGATAAGGATCTCGATATACTCATCATATCTTACCTGGATCGAGAAAATCGAGGTTACGAGGAAAATATGAAAACAGTTGAATGATGCTACATGTTCTCTTAGGAAGAGAATTATGGGAGGGAAGTATGGGATAGAAGTATGAAAAGGCAACCCGAGTCAAGTAAACATTTAGTAATTAATTAGTAAATAAGTTAATAGGAATCATTAAAATTATGTGAAAAAAAATAAACTCTTGTATGTATTGTACCACGGCCGTTAACTGGTACTAATGATCGACACTCGATCATTTGAACCCTCGAAACGCCCTTGATACATAAATAACTATTCTCATATTAGAATTGCGTTTTCTCGCCAGACGTTTCATCCTCTTTTCCCTCTTTTCGAGCAGTTCTCGAAATCTGTCACAACCGGTCGACGTCTATTGAAGCGCCCGCCCTCGGTAAGTGACAGCGGCGGCGGCGGCGGCGGCGGCGGGGGGACGAGGACGGGTGGGGGCGAGGCCTTGGGCGCTCCGTTTCATTGACATCTCTTACCCTTTTGACCTTTAAGGTATTGCATCGGCATCGCATGTCACAATGTTTGACACTTGTTAATTCATAATGACCTACTCTGAATACAGCCTAGTTATTTTGGGAAATCAGATTTTGGACAGATTAGAGACTAGGCCTGGCAACTACACAATTCGACTACCTCCTGTTTGCCAACGCCAGACCGGGGCACGCACGCCACGCACGGCACCGGCACCGGCGCCGCTTAGGTTTTTGCCGTGCCGGGTCTTGTCGCACGCCCCGACGACGACGCTTTCCAAGTTGTGAGGCGGGTGCAGTGTACGGCAGAAAATGCTTTGAGGGGGGTTG